TCCCCTATAAATCAAAGATCATCTAGCGGCACTTCTATTTGCAGCCTTCAGAGAAAGAGCCTCCAATTTATAGGTGACATTCAGACTGAAATAGCAACGCTGGAGCATGCTGTGTAACGGAGATCTGAGGAAGTGGTTCTGGGCCAGCCAAGGGCTGTTAGCACCTTCCCCAGACATCCCGCCTCTCCCCAGCCTCTCGCCGCAGCTTCCCTGCGCTCTCCTTCACTTCCCAGCAAGCTGGCTGGGCACAAGCAAAGCTCGGAGACCCTGAACGTGGACAAACACATGTGCACGCCCAACAGAAAGCTGCCCCTGCGTGTGGCACTGGGAGGAAGGCACGTTGGCCTGCACGGAGGCTGCCACAAGCTGGGTCAGTGCAAATGGACTCCTGTTGGTTACAGAAGGACCTCTGCAGCCTGAATTAACACGGGCATCGCGTTACACACCCTTGGGTGCTGGGGGGATGAGTAAGCCCGGCTGGAGCAGCAGCTTGCTTCCAGCTTTGGGTCATCTTGACCAAAGGCTCCCCAGCACCTCTTTTACGGCTGTGGGCCACCTCCCTCGCTGAAAGCATCCCAGCTGGGGAGCTGCTCCTCACAGTGTAGCCAACACCAGGACTCCATGACCTTCTTTTTCAGTCCCAGGGCCAATTATTCCAGTCTCAATCCTCTGGGCCTCCATGCCCTCCACCTGTGACTACATTGCCTGGAAGGGTTTGGTTGAGAGCTGCTCTACCCAGGCCTGTGTTGGAGTCTCATGAAGAGGCAGGAGTGAAGTAGTAGGGGTTACCAGCCCAGCCTCATCACCTCGGCAAGGTGAGCAGGCCCTGTGTTAGCCGCTAAGTCCAAGTTTCAGCTCATAATGCTGCTGCACATAGTATGTGTACTATACACACAGCAGCTTCTAAGCCTCCTGTCACCCCAGCCAGGCAGCATGTTACTCAGTGCCTGTAAACGTGTGCCAGGCCCAGGGGCCTCCAGGTACAGGGCTGTGGGACCAGGTGTTTGGGGTTTCCAAGCTACAGGTTGCAGTCAGTTGGGAAGGTTGGTGGAGGATTGCACGACCCCTCTAATCCACACGTATTGGGACCAGGCTGACTGGAGGCAGCATTCATCTGGTCTGCGCTAGCCTTTAAACATGTAAACAAGAGATTAATAACATAGCTTTTGCACCTCCTTTGGAGGTGGATGACAGTGACTAAGAATGTATTTTCAGAGCTGTCTAAAGCCTCCTGTCAATTTGAGCAGGGCTGCTGCTGGGGCCCTTGGCAAAGGCAGCCCCTGTACCTGCAGAATGCCTGCAGGACCACAGTGAGCAGCCATTCCTAGCGCCTGTCCTGCTGGGTCCTGCAGCCAGCCATGCTCACGAGCAGTTCTCCTCGCTCCCTGGTGCCCCTCCATCCCCAGCCCCTGCTGAACCTCAGTGCTGGCCCCAGCCCCGTTCTGAGAGCAGCATCCCTCGCTGCTTTCCCAGACCTTTGCCTCCTCCAGGCTTTTTGTCTCCTGTTGGACAGAAGTGGCTCCGTGTTTGCCGTGGGACTGGTTTCCCTTTCCCCCTCATAGCTGGCTGACCTTTGGTGTCTGCAGGCCGCGTGAGCTCCCGGCGGCCGCGGGGCACGGCCCTGTTGCTTTCTGCTGTGTGTATGCACACAACGCAGTGTGACGGGGGCTGTGTTTTCTTTAATACCTTTGCATGGAGTAAGGAGAGTCCATCTGCTGCTGATATTGCCATGGCTTTTAGCATGGCTCTTGGAATTATGCAGAAACGCGCAGTGAATTAATTCCCTGGATTAAGTCTTGATTAAGATGTGTGTCACTTTGCTGTCTCAGAATTTATTAAGAGCCCTTCTTGAGGCGGCGGCAGATGGAATTTCTGCCCAATGTTTGTAGATGATAATTTCCCCTCTTCTACAGCCATTTGCATATGATTGCATCTGTCAAGCACAATTTCCTCTCTTCGAGGGCTTGACTCTGCACTGGACCAGATTTAAGGAGGAATTCAGACTCCTGCCTCACTGTAACTGCAGGACAGCATCCTCCTGTGCATGGTCCTGTTTGCCTCGAGACTCTTGCTTGTCTTGCTTCAGTTTCATCTGTGCAAACCGGGGTGGAGATACGGAAACCAGGAGGGGAGCAGTTTTACAGACACCTTTATAGGTGTAAATGACAACCTAAGGCTTGGGGGAAGCCAGCCCCAGTATTTATGACTCCCGCCCCATCCCTCACTGCACCCGCGCAGTGGCTGTGTGCTTGATCTGAGCTGCTGTGCACTGTAGCGTGCTTGGCCTGCCTCAGGGATGTGCCAGGGACCTGGACTAAAACTGGTTGTAAAGGATGGCCCATGTTCAAGCTGAATTCAGGAGTTCTGACTTGGGAGCAAGTTTGGTTTTTGAACCAAATATAACGCTATGAGGACTTCAGAGAGGAAATTTTGTGTGTGTGATTATGTACCTAGTGCAAGTGCCCTGTGCAGTGGCATCAAGCAAGGCCCTTTCAGCTTGTCGTGGGCAGAACAAACAAAAGCAAGAGGAGACCTGCTCTGCACAGCCATGGAGGGCTGCAGGATGGTCTGAGCTGGGGCTAATGTCCGAGCTCCGCACTGGTGTATTTAGCTGGGGACACCCCCTGCTGCCAGCACAAAGGGCTGTAGGTATTACTCTAGATTATACAGCCCTTTCAGATTTAATTAAAGGAGCTTTCCTCCACTCTGGCTAGATCTCGCTGTAGGCAGAGACATTAAGAAAGTCGATGATAAACCTTTGTGGCATTCCTACCAAGTCGTTTGTTCTCAGGGAGTTACTGGAATTGGCACCTCAGAAGTGTCTTTAGATAGCATCAGATTTATTGTTGCCATCTGAGCCTTCATCTCATTTTCTCTTAATGTAAAAGGACCATTTCTTTAGGGGCAGCTTCTGTACTTGTAATGTGGAACCAGACTCGCTCAGTTTTCAGTTGTGTAAAATCACCCCTGGCCCCCAGCCTGCTCTGGCGCGTGTAGCTCCTTCCATCTACACACTTCACTGCTCCCGTGGTAAAAGGTTCCCAAATCTGTAACAAACAGGTCTTTTCTTCAGGCTGCCACCCATGCGCATCCTCCCTGCTAGCAGGGAGCTGCCTGGGCGCTGCAAAAGGCAGTGGGCATGAGGTGCAGCATCTCCAGCCAGCCAGGGGGGACACCTCACTCACCCAAAAAAGAGCAAGTGAGGGTCCCCGTGACCTTCCTCCTCGATCTCGGTAACATGCTGCTCCACCGCCCGGGAGCAGAGATTCCTCCGCTTGTTTTTTTTGGAGGGGTGGGAAGGAAACATAAAGGCTGACTGCAAGCCAAGCAGGGCTAATTATAGCAGTGGCTTTGGTGCTGTGGGTGCTGCCCACGGCGAGCTACCCCGAGACTGACAAGCGCGCCTTGCTGAGCTCCCCATGCTGCCACCGGGGAGTGGGCCACAAGCGTGTGCCCGCTGAGCTGAGGCTCCTGCAGTTTGTCCAGGGGGAGAGGCCGTCCGTCTGGTCGTTTGATGCTGTTTGCCTTCCCCAAGAGGGTATGCAGGGAGCTGGCAGTTGGGATCCCAAGGGCTGCCCGTATCCCCTTCTGCCCGGCGAGTTTATCTAAGCATATTTTCAGGAAGAGGATCTGTCTGCGTGTACTTTCGTCCTCCTGGGGGTTGTGCTCAGGCAGAGCTGCCCCTGCCTCTGCCCCACATCAGAGAGGAATGGGTTGGGGCTGCCCTGTCCCATCTTGCAAGAGATTTTTGCTGTCCCAATCTATGTGTTTGTGCAGGACAGTGCCACGCAAGTGTCCGCGGGCTGGGGTCTCCAGTGGCACAGCGTGCACAGCACACAAATTGCACACTGAGCTAAGGGCTGGCACATGTGCTGCCTGTGAGGGCTCCTTCCCTGCAGTGAGAGAGCAAGAAGGGTGGGATGTGAGACAATAATCTTCTCTTCCTCAAGACTACAGAAATACAGCCACAGGGAGACCAGGGTCATCCGCTGCTAAACCTCTCGGTGTAACTTTAAGTCTCTAATCTTAATGGAATTGCAGCAGGAACCAAGCGAGACCATTAATCACTGGAAGATAAACAGCAGCAGCAAACCAGTTACCCAGAGCGCAGCCCCGCTGCGGGCAGGAGAGCTGCCTGCCTGCCTCCAAAACCCCGGGGCTGCCTGCAGCCCCCGGCCGGCCGATCAGCGCTTCCAGGCGCGCGCTCACCAGAGGATCAGGAACTGCCAGCGAGGGCTGAGTCACAGTTTATAATAAACTTTATTTCTCGATTTAGTCCTCGCGGTGCGGTGCTGACCCCTGAGCTCTGGCACGGGGTGTTTTTGTAGCAGTGTGTGCCGCTTTAAAGCCTGGAACATTTTTTTCTGCTCTCCCATCAGTAGGAATTGCCAAAGCTCCCCAGGGTGCTTGGTATCTGATCGCTGTCGGAGCGAGCTGTTTCGAGCTGCAAGAGCATCGCAGGCAGCGTGGTGCCATGCTGCAGGGCTTCCCGCCTGGGCTGGCTGCAAGGGGCAGCCTCTCTGTTTCTGTCTGCTCTCTTCATCATCGGAGAAGCTCCTGATAATGTGGGCTAGGGTGGGGAGAGGATCGGGAGATAAGCCCTGTCGCTGACTTGGCTTGTGATGTAGGTAAACTCTCTTGGCTGCTCTGAGACTCCATTCCTCATCTCAGAAATGATGTTAATGAGCCTCTTTGAGCTGTGAGAGGCAATGAAGCAAAATTCCTTTAAGTGCTTCCAGATCCTCAGATAAGAGGTGGCAGGGAAATGCACAGCCTCACTGGACCCTGCCTGATGCATTCTCCAGGGGCTGGGGGCAGCCCACAAGGTGTGAGCAAGCTGTTGGCTTCCCAGGCTTCCACGCAAGCCCCTGGCTGTGGAGGAGGGTGATGGCCAAAATGCCTGCTCTGGGCAGCGGAGGGTTAATAAAGTATTGGTATCACGCAGGATTATCACAGTGGAAAGGTCCAAAGGATTGACAGATCCGTACCTCTGTCTGCAGGGAAAAAAGTCTGTACCATGACCCTGCTGCAGAGAAGAGCCACTGCATACCGTGACCCACACATGGTGGGTTGCTCTCCTCAACGCTTCCACCCAGAGGGATTACTGTGACAGTCCCGGCCGAGCTCAGCTGCAGGGGGCAGAGAGAGCTGTGGAGCCAGGGCAGCGCTCCTTCACTTGGCCTGTGCCAAAGAAAGCTTGGGACCCCACCGGAGCTGCCGTTAGTCCACCTGGATAGCTTCTGAAATGGTGCCCGAAGCTTGGACATGAAGAGCTAATCATAATACAGAAGGGAAGCCCTGCCAGACTTTCTGCAAATTTGTGTTATTTTTTTTTTCCCCTAAACGAAATGTTGATGTTCATCCTCATAGGAATTGCAGCGTGGGTCTGGCTGTGTCCAGCTGCCTTCCCTGCGTGCCTCGCACGCTGCGCCTCGCCTGGGCGCGCAGCACCTTGGCTCCATCAGCCGGGGCTGCGATTTTCTTTCTGACAGACTATGCAGCTACATTAATAAAGCTGCACTTTGTTATGGCTTATTTTGTTTGTTAGGCATCTGGAACAAAATAAATCAGCAAAGGCTTAGTTTTGCCAGAACGAATCGCAGTTGCACAAAGTTGCTGGCAGTGTCAGGCTCTGTAGCACAGGAGTGCTGGGAGCTAAGCGTGCTTTGTGGGCACAGGGAAGTCCTCCAGAGAAACTAATCGCTTTGGTCGGGGAGAAAAGAGACTGATTTGGGGGAGAAATTCTGCCTGAGAGCATCTCACGACCGAAATAAAAAGCAGAGAGAGGGGGCTCAGCTTTGCTGATCCCTGTGTGCCCTGGCAGGCTGCGCTCGCAGCACATCTGCCTGCATCTGTATGGCAGCAAGCAGCACAGCTGTGGCTGAGGGACTCCTGTTTCCCTTTGCACGCACAAAGCACTCATGTTTGCACGGGCAGAAGCTGGGCAGAAGTGGAGATGGGAGCGAGACAGCGGTGGAGCAGCGTCGCTGGATCCGCTGCTTGCACAAAGGGCAGCGGGCCTGGCATGGGTGCGCCGGTACGCCGCGCTGCGTTTGTTTGGGTGGCTGTATGAGTTTGAGCGATTATTCCAGCAGTAAAAGGGAACTGGCCCAATGCCCGCGGCGGATGCGTTCACGGCAGAGCTTCGGCGTCCTTTTGGTATCTCTGTGGCTGCAAAGTTGGCCCGTTTGAGGGAGGCTGGGGCTGAGAGGCGGCGCTGGAGCTATGCGGCTCCAGCTGCCGTCGGGAGCTTTGTATGCAGATGGAGGGCAGCAGATGACTCAGATGCTACCAGGGATGTAAATGATTCTCACAATTAGTAAACAAGCTCAAGAAAGCCCCTAATCAGGCGGGTGATGCATAGGGCTGAAGGTCGGGAAGGCTCCGCCGTGCAGCCGGCACGTCACACCCTTTATGCGTCTCCGACCTTGGCGCGCTGCGAAGCCGCCCGCGTTCACCGTCAGTCAGCATTTCTGCAATAAATCCTCTGCAGAAGTTTGACTCGGTCATAAACATTTGCTCCGTGACAAAACTTGGCAAAAATGGTGGCTGGAAAGAATCTTTTTTTTGGGGGGAAAGTGCCGCCGGGTTGCTGTTTTAAAAACCAGCGGGGCTGCAAAGGGGAGAGGAGTTTGGCTGGGGGTGCCACGGTGGCCGAGGGGCAGCGCTGCTGGGGACACCAACTGGAGCCCCGACACGGCCAGCTGGCTGCCAGGGCTGCGTCATCCCAACACGCAGAGCCGGCGGAGCCGATGTCTGGGCTGTAAGGTTTCTCTGATTATTATTTTTTTTCCTCCTAAGCAATTTATATTTCTTTTTTTTAAGTGCTCTGGCAGGAACACCCTTGCAGGACGTGGGCTGCCATGAATAAAGCAAGCAATGAGCTCAGACCACAGCATCCCGAGCGGGAGAGGAGAGGACGTGCGGCAGCTGCCAGCACCCCTCTGGGGGGGGGGTCACTGGGACAGATGCTGGAGCTCCCCCCACACACACCCACCACCTTTATGGACCTTGCAACATGCCCCGAAGGTCAGCCTGTTTACCCAGACATTGTGCAGAGGGGAACGAGGGGGGATCGGCCCTCCCCACTGCAAACACGGCTAGATCCAGCCTTGTGCAAGCGGCCCACGCTTGCAGGATTGGGCCCAGGGTGCGGAGGGAACCTCTCGCCCCGCAGCAAGCCGTGCCGTGCTGTAAATCTGGGGGCACGAAGACGTGGGAAGCAGCGGAACCCAGCTTTGAATGTCAGGGTCCTGAAATGCACTGCGCTGCTTAAGGACTGTGTGCAAAGTCTGGGCTTTTTTAGGTTTTTTTTTGTTTTTTTTTAATCCTTAGTTTTTTCCATCTGTTCCACGCTGCATCCCATACAGAGCCCTGGGAGGTAGGCATTTTGGGTGGGTAATGAAGAAAGCTGCAGATCCATAATTACTCATTCAGCCTGGCCCTCGGGCAATCCCATCAAAGTGGTTCAGAGAAAAAAGGGCCGGGGCAGAGGGAAGCCAGCGCTCTGGAAGCAGCTCGGGTCGCAGCCCCTCAGCCCTGACCGCTGCGGGGACACGGAGAGGCGCCTCGGCAGCCCCAGCCCCAAACCCCACCGAGGACAGCCCGGCACTGGTCGCAGTGTGCCAAACACCCCAGCAACCCCTCTCCCCCGACCACGGATGAGCTCCTGCACTGGCTTCTCCGCACCGATACTAAAATCGTGCTGAAAACCCCTTCTGAGCAGGACGCACAAGTACGCACCGCTCGGCGCTTTGCCCGTGAAATTTCTCCCTGGTTAAGTACAGCTCCGCACCCAGCCTGACTTTTATGGCTCAACATATATCTCTTACATCCAAGATTTTTATTTATTTATTTTTTAAAATTATCACCACAGATCCAGCTCTCTAAACAATTTTCCTCTTTTTTTTTTTTGGTGGAAAAAATCCACAAATTTACTTTAAAAAATAACCGTGCAATAAATGCGCATCTCAAAAAAAAAAAAAAAAGAAAAAAGCTTGTAGAACTGGAAGTTTTGGATATTGTGGCACCAAAAATAAAACTGATGGAACAAAAAGGGAATTTCATGTGGTTTTCATTGTCAAGTCTAAGCTCAGAAACAAACAGGAAATAAAAATGGCTAAAACAAAAGAGATTTCTTTTAAAGTATGTTCAAATCTAAGTGGGGAGCTGGTTTATTTGGGAGGCATTCTCTGTTTATTTGTTTTTCAGAAAGACAAGTAAATAAAAATGTCCACACGCAGACAGGTCAGCTTGATTTATGGTTAAGCTCTCGTGCTTCTCTCTGGTCAGTTATTATAAGCACTTCTTAAAAATTAGCCTTGCAGAAACAGCACCCTGAGAAGGGGCAGGGAGGGCGGCGAGGCTGGGGCCACCGCTGCTGGAAGGGAGATGGGAGGCAGGATGGAGGGGGAGGAAGGCTGGAGTCACCGCGGACTCGCCGACGATGCCTTTCGGTTCATCCTTGTGCTCTTTGCATTTCTGCAGGCAGCTCTGCTGGGGCTGAGCCTCCCAGCCCACGCCGTCCCCCCGAAGCCCTGCTAGCAGCAAATAGAGGCGTCTACTTAATGCATTTATTTAATAGAAGTGGTCTGCGGGACCGGCTCTCAGGCTTTGGGATGGTTGAAGTTGTTTGCTGGGGAAATTGGGGTTCGCAGACAGGTGTCTCACTCATGGGAGCTCCGACTGTGATTTAGGGGTTGAATGGGACAAATGCAGCACCCCAGGTCTGCTTCAGCTGAGATCACGAGTAGCTACAGAACCATCAATGCATTCCTGAATGCTTTGAATGGCTGAAAAATCAGATGTGTGAAATTAATAGCAGCTTCTGCACTTTTAGCTATGCTTTCCCTACTCTTGTGCACGGAGAAAAAGGGTGCAAATGTTTAATTTCTGGCAGAGCCGTGCTTTGGGAGACAGAGAGCATCGCAAGGAGGGTCAGGGGACAGAGGCAGCATTTCTGGCTCTGTGCTGGGCTGCTGGGCAGGGCAGTTCTGCTTCCCCTCTGCGAGGTGGGTAACGTTCCCTCCTGCTAAATCATCCAGCAACCCGCCTGCAGGAAGGCTCACGAGGAAAGACCAGAAGGTGCAGTTTGTCAAAAATGGGCACTCCGAGCTCAAACTTGTTCCCATCAAATCAGCAGGAAATTTCCTGCTCAGCATGTGGGGGACCAGCCTCTTCCCCAGCCTGCTGGGCAACACCCTGAAACTGGTGGGGACAGCAGAGGAGGGGGCTTCCCTCCCCAGCTCCGTATCTCTATTTAAAGCCTAATCATAATGGAAACGCTTCTCAGCCTCCATCCAGCTAGCTCTCCTGGTTCCTTCCCCAGAAGGACTCGGGATTTGGTTGTTGCCCACACTGAAAACCAGCGGGGCTGTCTCCGATGACCCCGCAGCAGTACCAGCCCTGGGCCAGGGGGGCCGAGCCAAGCCCTGCCGCAGGAGCGCCCTGCTCTGCGCTCCGTCCCGCTGCGCCTCCAGCAGCAGCCTGCGGGCTGCCTTAAATGCCCCACGGAAGCCAAGAGCTAATAACCAGCTTCATTCAATTCCCAGTCACATTATTATCCAATCTGCCAGAGGCATTAATATTCAGAGGTGAGCCGGGCGGGAGGGCAGGGGCGCGGGGAGCGGCACACAAAGGGGAGGCGCGGTGCGGCGAGGCTGGCCTCGCAAATCCTTTCTCCGGCTGCCTGAAGCCCCCAGCCCTGCTTCAGCCCCGTGCTGACCAGAGATGTTTTTTCCCCCAGCCCTGAGGCTGACTGTGATGCTGGTCAGTGGAGGCAGAGGGCAAGCTGATGGTAGCCCAGCACCGTGCTCCCCGTGCCCCCTGCCAAAAGCCAGGTCCCAGGCCTGGCTCAGCTCGGTGTCCTCGGACCCCAGCATCCCGTGACAAGTGGGGACCTCCCCCCTGCAGCCAGGCCCTGAGCAAACAGCAAGGTCCCATGCTCAAATGGCCAGATAACCGCCGAGCCCGTGCAGAGATGCTGCAGCCTCCTGCTCCCGACCCTGCAGCCTCATCCCGCTGCCTTCCCGAAGCGGGGCGCATGGTGTGAGGCCACCAGCGATCCCCACGGGGGACTTCATTCCCAGCCCAGGACCTCCCCTGTCCCCAGAGCCAGGGCACATGTGCCAGGTCACGAGACAGAACTCATGTCCCCGGCTCATCTCATCTTCCTTTTGGAGCTGTCTCCTAGATCGGGTTTCTGGCTTTTTCTTTTTGGCAGTCTCCAAAGTCAGCCTCACCTCTCAATCTCGGGGTTTTGGGTAGCATCTGACGATAGAAAAGATGCCGCTCTTTTTGCCGACTCCCCACAGGGTACACAAACCAACACTTGGCAATTCAGTGGAAGTTTTTAGCTCTAATAATTGCCTGAATTAAGCCCTTTGAGAAATGCAACACTTTTAAACCAGTGCAGGAGCGCTCAGTTACCGGGACGTAGGTGGGTTTCATGGGGAGAGCCCAGCCTGCAGGTCTTGTGCAATCCCAGTAACACGAGGAAAAACACTGCCCTTGCCCACAGCCCCCTCCGGGACGCCAGGGACAGCCATCTCCTGCGAGGGCTCTCGGTAGGGAGCACCGGGCATGCTGCGGCCATTTGCTAACGAAAACCAAACCCTGCCCCATTTCTGCAAACATTTGTGGAGCCTGAGAGCAGCTCCCGTGCCCTGCTGGTCCCTCTGGAGCCAGCAGGCAGCTCTTTGTCCCTCACAGCAAGGCATGACCGACGCCTGAGCAAACACCCATCCCTCCGGCTCACCGGCACGCCACGGGAGCGGGGGGCTCGGGGAGACCCCGGTGCCATCGCCAAAAACGCCGTCCTTTTTCCTCCTTTGGAAGCTGGGACAGGAACACGGGGCACGCTCCCGAGAGCCCCCTTCCTAAACTGCTGCGTTCAGCATCCCTCCAACTGGCGGAGGGCACGAAGCCACCCCAGCCGGGCACCCCGCAGGGCACAGGAGCGGGATCCCCCCGATCCGGCTGGGGAACACCGAGGTGGGCGCATCCCCGGGGCGCTGCGGCCGGGGGCTCGCTCCCGCACCCCCACAGCCTCCCCCGCCGAGCCGAGCCGGCTGGGAGCGGAGTGCGGAGCCGGGGGGGGGGGCCGCCCGTCCCAGCCCGTCCCGCTCAGCTGTCCGGGGGCTCCGGGCCGACAGGTGTGCCCCCCTCGGCGGCACCGGCCCGGGGCCCCGCCGCCCCCCCGAGCCGGCTCCAGCAGCTGCAGCGCAGCCCCCCCGGCTCTCCCCCCGCCGCCCGGAGGGCTCCGGGGCGCCGCTCCGCTGCCTGCCCGCGGCCGGAGCCCGACAGCCGGCTCTGCCCGGAGCCTCCCCCCGGGGGCCGGCCGGCTCTCTCGCTCCCGGTCGGGACCCCGGCGGCGACGGCCCCCGGGAGCCCCCGGCAGCCCGGGGCAGGTTCGCCCCGTCGGCGGGGGCCGGGCTCGCCCTCTCCCCGGAGCTGCAGGGAGGTCGGCCGCGCTGTAAACAGGCGGCAGCCCGTTACATAAATATCATTTATCCAGCTGTCCAGAAGCCGTCGGGCCGCCTTCCTTTTCCCAGGCGGTGTCTCCCCGCTCCCCCGGACCCTGCAGACAGCCGATCCGGCAGCCCGTTATTTACGGCGAGCCCCGGCTAATTTAAACAGCCCCTGCCCCGCTCTCCCGAGTGGAAAATGCCTAAGTTTAGCAACCGCCATGGCGCTCCGGGAGGGGCCCGCGGCGGCCCCGAGGGGGCGGCCGGGGCTGCGGCGCTCCGGCGGCGGGCGGCCCGGGGAGCAGCTCCGCCGCGCACGGCCCCCGGGGCCGCTGCCGGAGCTCGGGGCAGCTCCCGGTGCGCCCGCCGCCCCCGGGGGTGCCGGGACGGGGGTTGCCGAGCCCGCGGAGCCGGGCGGAGCGCCCCGAGCCGCCCCGCCGGGGATGCTCTGGCTCCGCCGCCGGTTTCGGCGGGGAGCGGGGGGAGGAAGCGGGGCCGGGAGGGGCACTTACGGCGGCTCCAGGCGCGGGCTCGGCTGCTGGGCGGCCTCAGTCCTGCGAGCGGGGCGAAGCTGCTGCCCCCCGCCCCGCCGCCCGGGCTGCTCCGCCGCCGTCGGCGAGTAAATCCCGGGGACTGGGCGGGCACTCGGCGCCTCGCTGCCGGCCCGCGGCTCACGGGGAGGGCGCCGGCCGACTGCCTGCCATTCACCCCGGCCATTCACTTTATGGCGGCCGGCCGGCGCCCCCCGCCAGCTGCACCGGGCGCCCCGCTCCCGCCCGCCCCATTCCAGCTGCGCGCCCGCCGCCGCCCGCCCCGTCCAGCGCCGCCCGCCCCGCCCCCGCCCCGCGCCCCGCCCTCCAGCCCGGCGCGACCAATCGCAGCGCGCCTCATTTGCATCCCGCCGCGCCCCGGCTCGCGGATTGGCTGAGGCGCGCGGCGGGCCTCGCCCGGCCCGCGTTGGCCACGCCCCGTCCCGGCAGCGCGGGTGCTGCCGCCGTCGGCGCCGCGCCAGGGCCGGGGGAGCGGCGGCGCCGTCGGGGGCACGGGCACGGCACCGGCACCGGCACCGGGCGCTGCTCCGGGCCGTGCCCTGCCCGCTCCGCTCCGCAGCTCGCCGGCCCCGTGCCTCCCGTCCGCCCCACCGCCGGGCACCGACGGCTCCGGCCCCGAGGTGTCCGCCCCGGGATCTCCGCCCCGCCGTCGGGGCTGAGGCTCGGGGCAGGCGGCTCCTCTCCCTGCCGGGATCCTGCAGGAGCTGGAGCGGGCTCGGCCCCGCCGTCGGGCCCCGGGGTTTCCTCGGGGTCATTTCCCTGGCAGCGTGCCGCCGGTTTATGGTGCCAAAGGTCCCCGCGGGCTCTCCCCCCGACGTGTTCTGGAGCTTAGGGGATGTTAACCCCGGTGATTTACGAGCTGTATGGATGTGATGTATGGAGGGCAAGCGCGGGCAAAGCGGCACAGGATATCAGGAGGGGTTAAGCAGACACGGGCGTTACAAATTATGGTTCAGAACCACACACAAACACGTTAATTCAGTAGAAGTGTGGAGAGTTTGAGAAGAGCTGGCAATGCTGACATGCTCGTGAGAAATTACCGTGTTTTTATAAGGGTGGCACTCTGAGGTTTGTGTCTGCCCTGCTGCTTTTGGCCTGCCAGAAGTGACAGCAAACGAGAGCACAGCTTTTCCCATCCCCGACTTTAACCCATCCCGGCACAGGCTCCTCTCCATCAGGAGAAGCAGGCGCAGCACGGCAGCATTAGCACTTTCCCGGGACAGTCCATCCCTATCACCACGTGCCTCAGGGAAGCTGAAAACCCAGCTCCCGGGCTGCGGCAATGGAGGGTGGTGCTTTGAACTGCCTGCCTTCCCCTCCAGACCTTTCCCCGTGCGTAGCCTGCAGCAAATACAATTAGTGCTTATGCTTTAAAGTAGTAATGAAGCAAAGGTATTTTTAGCTATTTCCTTCAGGCAACTGGAAATAAGAAGCGGCACCACTGTCACAAGCTTGCTCCCAGTGAAGTGCAGCACGAAGACTGCTGGATTAGAGGATCTGGGGAGCTGAAGTGGGAGGCTTTCACTAGGACAACCTCCTTGCAACCGCCCTGTTGCATGAATGGTCTCTTTGGGAGGGAGGGCTCTAGCATTTGCTGTTGAAATGTAGTAGCAGCCCTTGTGCTTGGTGCCAAGACTTAGCGGTAGTTCATCTTGTCTTGCCAGCTGGAGGATTCGCTGCTGCAGAAGAGACCAAGAACTTCACCTGGGTTCAGGAGACAGATGTTACTACTTTGTGTTAATTAGAAAATAGAAGGAGGAAAAAAAAAAAAAAAGCAAAAGCAAACAAAACCCAGAGCAAACCTGACTCACATCTTGGCAGAGAGATGGGATGTGCAAAAGGAGGGAATTACTCAGCACATTAGACATACTCTACTTTTTACCAGCCAGGAGGAGTTTGTTCTCTAAGAAAACTCCGTCTCTGCCACAGCCAAATTCAGCCATTCTGCTGCACCTGGAGGGTGGTGGAGTTGTTGATTGTTGACTGTGGTTTCCACCTTTGTGTCTTAACTAATCTTTTAGCCACGCTGGTGCCATGCCCTCAGATGCTTTGAAGATCAGGAGTGAGACTTGAATATGGCTTGGCCTCCTGGGATAGGTGGCACGGGGAGCGGAGGGTGGGTTTGATGCGTTCGTGGTGGCCAGGGCTCCCACTGCTGCATGCTCTTCTAGCTGCTATTTGCCAGTGTTGTGGGCTTCGTGCCCAGGTGTATCACATAGCCGTAGCCTAGCCAAGAGGTGACGAAGATAGGACTGACTGAGGTCAGGCTGCTCCTGCCAAAAAGGCATGGCTTCTCGTGGCCAAGCAGAGACAATGGGAAATGTTACATCGGGATGTTTGTCTGCAGAGCTTCACGTCACGGGGAAATGCAGGAGCACTCCTGAGACATGGGGAAGGTAGAACAGCCGGGAGGATGTTTCAGCCCAATGGGACTGCTCTGCAGCTTCAGTGTTGTGCTCTGCAGAGTTTCCAGAGAAGGATTTCAGTATTCTCAAGTCTCTCAGTTTAGCTCTGTTGCTTCAGTTGTAGGTCCTGGCCTGAGTGCAGATTGCACCAGATGCAGAACATCAGTTTCCATTTGGAGAGACTTCAGCTGGCTGTGGGCTAGCCTCTACCTGAGCTTGCTCTGGAAAGGAGCAGCTGCTGAGAACAACTGCGTTCAGTGTTTAATGGCTTTTTCTTTTTTTTTTTTTTTTTCTTTTTTGGATTCTCAGCTCTGGGGAGAGTAACTGCAAGTAGTTCCTAGCCATGACAACTGCTTCTACCTTCTGAGCCAAATCCCTCTCTTTGCCTTTTTTCTGGAGACCTCACTGAGCCTTAGAGAAATAGCAAAAGCCTCCATGAGAAGGGGGTGGAAGTTCAACCTCTCCCAGACTATTTAACCTGGTGGAAAATTCCCGTGTTGCGTGTGCCTGCGTGTCTGAAATCTGGCCTCTGTGGATGACCGCAAACTGGCAGGAGCTGAGCAAGAGTAATGGACCGTGCAAAGCCGGTCCCGTCCATCAGTGCAGATTGCAGAGGCTGAGGTGGTTGGCAGCACGGATTTGTTATATTCTCATCAAAGCTTGTGGGGAGCACGCTATTGCGCTGGCAATCTGGTCCCGAACGAAGACTGCCACGAGCAGTTGGAGTGCCCCATGGAAACTGCTCTGTGCAACCAGCTGGCTGCTCGTGTGCCTCCCGTGGAAGGAGGTGAACTGGAGAAGCAGCTGGGCAAGGGCTGCGTGGAGGATTGTCGCTGTTTGCGGCCCCTCCTTATGCTCCTTGTGGGCTGAGGAGAAACATTCAAAACAAAAACTCAGCGGAAAGGCTGCATCTTTGTAGCGAGCGTAAAGCCCAGCTTTCCTGATCACACAGCGTGAACCTGGGGGATTTGCCCAGATTGCGCTGCTCTGATCCTGGGTTTCGCTGTCCTGTGCTGTGTGTAAGGCTCCAATTTGCTCACATGTGGTATGCACACAGCTGTGCACGCCTGTGCTGCCGGATCAGGCAATCCAGGACCCCAAAGTTCCCCATTGCTGCCGGACCGGGCTGTCAGTGCGGCACTACAGCATCTGCAGGGTTTTCTGTCAGGCCAGGGGGTGCCTGATGGCTGAATAACGCAGCGCACAGTGCGTGAGGGTGAACTTGCTTCTCCCCAGACAGCATGGGGCCGCGCTGTATTGTTTTCCTCTCCAGACAATGCAGTGCTGGATGGCGAGTAAAAATGCAAAGCACATTGCAATGTTTGCTCTTTATTAATGCACTAAGATGCATTCGGGTGAAGCAGAAGGCTGCGGGCTGGCTGGGTTTCAAGCCCTGTGACAGGAGCTGCCACGACAGGGGAGCAGGGTGGGCAGAGGGCAAACCACCACCAGCTCGGGGAGCCCCCAGATGGCTGCAGGTACCGGGGGGCTGCCGGTGCTGCTGCGGCGGGGCAGAAGGGAAGGAGCCAGGAGCCTCCTTGTTGCGCCAGCTGCTTAGGTGGTGGCTTTTTCCTCCGCGGGTGAGGGTTGTGGTGGGTGCTTGAGCACTTTTGTGTTTTAGGGCAGGGACCAGTTTCACATTTTAGGACAGCGAACAGTTTTATGCTTTAGGACAGCGACCAGCTTTGTGTTTTAGGACACTGACCAGTTTTAGGGCAGGGACCAGTTTTTTTGCTTTTATGTTTTAGGGCAGGGACAAGTTTCATGTTTTAGGACAGCAAACAGTTTTAGGACAGGGACCAGGTTTTTTTTGTTTTTATGTTTTAGGACAGGGACCAGTTTAGGGCAAGGACCAGTTTCATGTTTTAGGACAGTGAACACTTTTATGTTTTAGGACTGTGACCAGTTTTAGGACGGGGACCAGTTATCTTTGTGTTTATGTTTCAGGACAGAGCCCGGTTTTAGGGGCATGCCCCCCAGTGCCCGCCCTGCCCTGCCCACCCCCTGAGGGCCACTGCCCTTTGCCCCCCCCCCCCCCGCCTCCCCCACAATGCTTTGCGCGGCCGGCCCTGCCTCCCGGCTGCCTCTCAACCACCCTTGCTGCTCCCCCATCGACTTAGCTCCGCCCCCTGTTTGCCGGCTCCCCCCGCGATTGGCTGAGCGCGCCGCTACTTCTACCCTCTCGCCTCTCATTGGCTCCCTCCCGCCTATCCCCGCAGGGCCCGCCCCTCTCCGCTCGCCCTCCGCGCTCCCCATTGGGCGGCGGGGCCGGCTGGGCCGCCGCGCCGCGCGCGGGTTGGCTGCGCGGGCTGCCCGTCAGCGCAGTGAGCAGGCAGCGGGTTGGGGTGCGCCCGTTTCCACGTCAGAGCGCAGCGGAGCGGGGCCGGTGGCGGCCGGGGGCCCGCAGGACGCCGCGGGCAGCAGGGGGGGGCAGGGCCGGGCCGGGCCGGGCCGGGCAGGGGGCGGGCACCGGCACCCACCCAGCCCCGGCGCCACCGATGCGCGGAGCGGCCGCCGAGGGGAGCAGGCGCCGCCATCTTGGATGCGGGGGTCAGTGCCGGGCGGCCGCCGCCTGTCGCGATAGTGTCGCGACGCCACGGCCGGGGAGGGGGGCAGGGAGGGCGCGGGGGGCTGGTGGGGCGGAGCTGAGGCGGCTCCGGGCCGGTGGGGGAGGGGGGAGGTGAGGGGGGCACGGCGACAGCAGCCCCGCGGCTCTCTCGGTGTCGCGACAGGCGCGACTCGCCCGCGACAGGGGCCGCAGGAAGCCGCTGTGCCCACAAGGCCTTCACGTGGGCTCTGTTCCTCCAGGCCTCAGGAGCCAGGCCTTCGGGGAGCGGCTCCAGGCCCGCGGCCTGGCCGTGTCGGGGGCGGCTGTCGAGTGAACTATCGCGACAGGGGCCTCAAAGGGAGGAGGGGGCCCGGGCAGGAGCCGTCCCGTGGGCTGCGGGGCGGGGGGGGGCTGCACGCTGTGTGGGTGTCAGCATGGCAGCTCCGCGCCGTGTGTTAGTGTGAGGGCCGGGGCAGGGTCAGGCAGCCGGAGCTGGGCTGCAGGAGCCCCCTCGCCCCTCACCCCAACCCTGTCCCCGCTCCACGCTGCGCCCCACTGCAGCCGCTTCACCGGGGCTGGGTCCCTCAGCGTGGCTGAGGGCTAAAAGTACCGATAGGAAGAGGTGAGGTGATGGGACCAGCCAGGCTTCTGCTGCTGCCTGTTTGCCAGCAGCGCTGCAGGTGTTGCCCCGCAGGGAATGCAGCGCTTCCTAAAAGCGTACCTGTGGGAACACCCAGGGAAGAAATCGGGGTTCCTGTGTGCTGGGACAGCGTGCTTCAGGGCTGAGCAGCGGAGCGTTCAGCGCACGTGTGAGGTCACGTTTGCAGGTGTAGATGTTGCCCTTGTTTTTACGTGAAAGTTTTGCATCTGGTGCTATTTAAAGAGTCTCAGAAGAGTGGCCGTTCCTGTCCGCAGAGCATTGGCGAAAGCTTTGACAAGTGTGTGGGCGTTAGACTTTGTTGTTCTATGAAATTCTCGTGTGTTTACCTTCTTCCAGTCTTCTGACCTTGTTAGCGGTGAGGCCGTGACTGATGACAGCTTCCCTGTTTCTCGAGGTGGGCTGGGCAGCTGCGCTGGTTTGGAGCTGCCAGTTGAAGCTCCGAGCAGGAGCAAAAGCTGCGGACTGGTCTGTAGGCTTCAGCAGGTGCATGAACCTATTGTGAGAGAGAAATAGGACTTTGTGCGGGATTAACCGAGGAAATGGGAAAATAAAATGCTTCTGAAATGCAATAGGGACTTCTCCTGATTTTTCTGTGTAACTCAAGACCACAGAAGTTCATCCAGGTGTTCCCATGCTGATTCCGCTGTCTTCTGTGTGATTAAAAATTCCTTTTGAGAAAGGCATCCCATCTTGATCTGAAGGCACCAGGAGCTGGAGGAACCATGGCTTTACTCGGGAGCTCATTTCAGTGTTTATTGATCTTAGCATTAGCAGTTCTGGCAGCCTGTCCAACAGTTATAGGATATCCCACTCTTTAGTTCATACTCTTCTGACATGAACCCTGTTTAGCATTTTTTTTTTTTTGTAGGTTGAACAAACATTTAATGGTTTTGTTTGACTACCCCCAGGTGTTCCTAAACCCAGTGCATCACCCAGTGCTGGTCTGGTAAATCTTTTAACTTTCTCTGAAGCTTCAGAGCATTACTTTCAATTTTACAACTTTTTTTCAGTATAGAACATCTACACTAAGCTCTGAAGTGAGAGCAGTTGTTGCTTGAATGCTGAAATTGTCTTGACAGTTGAAAAAGGGTAAGCTTCAGGAAGTACAGAGTTTGGAGAAGATATTTCCATCCTTGAAATAAACTTTTAAACGGTTTTACAGGGTGGATGATGCTTTTGCTGAGTCCAACTCGCAAAGCGAATCTCCCTGAAAATAGTTCTCTGGTCCTTTTTTACCCCCCCCCCCCCCCCGTAATTATTTTCTGTTTCCTTCTCCAGCACACAGCTGCAATGATCTCTTCCATGAACAAAGATAGTTGGCTGTGGTTTGCTTTGGAACGTGTTAGTACCATTTCTTGGTTGGCTGAAAGCTTAAATGTGGAGCAGGACTTTCTATCATCTTTACCCTGTGTTTGTGGTGGACTGGGCTCGATTTTCTTCATGATTCTTTTAGCTTAAAGGCAGAAGAAATAGTACCATGGGCAAACTCTACAGTGTGCGGAATAGTATTTAAGCTTTGATAACTGTTTTCAGTGGCACTGTATCTGTTGAGTATGAGTGTGTGTGCGGGGCACTGATACATGTTTGCCATTTCTTTACGTGCTTTTCCAAATCAGGTTAGGGGAGCCTTTGTTTCCTGAAGTCAGTTTGCTGAATGCCTCGAATGGCACTGCCAGGTTTATGTGCTCAGCATTGGCTTGTAGCAGGGAAGGCAGCGAAACTTGGGTTTTGACAAATTTGAATGTACAACATTTCCTTAAAAGTGCCTTTGTGGACCAGTGTTTTGTTCTGAGATTTTCCATGTGGAGATGTGGAAAATATTGGAATTAGTGAAGAGGTAAGTGAGGGACTTTATAAGGGAGATAAAATTTCCCATAAATGTGTTGTACTAATATAAAAATGACATGCTGAGGTAGAAAAAAATTGCATAAAATTAGGGATCACATTGTAAAGCCATCATATAACTACTACATGAAATAGGTTACCGTTGGGATGGGAACATCTCTCAAGCGTTGGACAAATGAGTAGGAAAATCCCTGGGCTTCTGCTACGTACAAATGCGGAGGGAGGTTCTAAGCTGTTGTTCTTCAGGGCCCAGGCACACTGCTTGGCACAGCTGGGTGTTTATTTTTCTGAATCATCTAGCAGGGAGTGAGAAACTATTGATCTGGTCTCTCATGCCAGTTCCCGTGTTATCAAGTATTTTTGTCTTTGCCCCCAGTTCGTTGTGTAACTCTCAGGAATACGGTTATTTCTAAATAACCCAATGAAGTAAGAAGCAGCGTTGCTGTAAGATTATGCACCCTGTTGCAAACATACCAAATCGAAACAACAAATCGGAGGCTCTCCCCTGATAAGGCATCATTTTATATTTTTCTTTCTTGTTTGCAGAGTCCTGAAGCAAATTAGTCTCTTTCGCTCAGAGAATATTTGTATATTTGAAGTGTTGTTGATAATTCAAACATGTTAATTAAAGCGAAGCCTGACAGATCCAGGATGTCTGTTCTGAGATTTGTGTGGTGGTGTTTCTGAAGCTTGGGGTGATGGACCAAAATTGTGTCCTCCTGGCTTTGCTTTTGCTAATGGACAAAAATCCTGATATTCTTTCTTCTCCCCCCACCCCAATGGAGTCCTTTAAATGTGCCTGCCTGATTGGAAGTGCTGAGATTAGCATTTCAGCTGTTTCCAGTCCTTTCCTTTCCTGTGGATGTCCTGATGGGTTTTAAAACTGGGTTCCTCGTTTTCCTTTCATAGCTTCTGACAAAGTCTCATTAGCATCTACCATTTCACTAAATACTTGTTTGCAGACACGGCATCATCTGACTCTGGTCTCTTTATAAGTCCTGTTTATTCTCTACAAACAGCGGTGTCTGTTCATTCCTCTCCATCGTTACTTGTTTACACTCCACTATATCTGGGCTATAGCTAGTGGAGAGAGAACAGCCCTGTAGTAGACTAATCTTGGTTTCTTTT